ACATTTTATTCACCAGAACAGAATGCCAAGAGAACTCGCAGAAAAGCATAATTCATCAATATTTACAATTTCTTTATAATTAATTCTTTATAATTAACCCTAGCTATACACACTGGAATCCCCGGGGCTCCAGCGCAATTTTCTAAATCAACATTTTTTTTGCGTTTAAAAATTTTTTTTTCTTTGATCTCAATATCCTAACCTCTAATCCTAATCTCAAAACTTCTTATGTTTATCAATTTTTACACATTATAGACTTGTTCCTTAATCAATTCTCTATCGATTGAAAAAAAAATTAATTGAAATATATCCATTTCAACAGAAGTTACGGTACAAAACAAACAAATATGGATGGGATCCTAGGGACCTCAGTGTGTATATCTAGAGTGTAAGAAACAAGTGTGTAGAGCTAGGATTAACAAATTTGTATATAATATTTGTAATTAATAAACATTAATATAATGTATATTTGAGATAGAAAATCATTTTCTATCTCAATTATATATTACACTATACTTTGTATGGCGTAATATATAATTTTATATATGTAACGTAATCAATTCGTTTGATATCGTTATATATTATATATTTCTATTAATTTAATGAACTAATACATATATTTACCTATATTATAGAAATTTAAATGTACATAGAATTTATTTAATTTTACTTAAAATCTATTAAAATTTATATTTCTTTTTTTAATTTCTGAAGAATTCAAATGTCAAAAAGAGTTTCAAATACATAACATTCATAATAAATGATTAAAATAAAAAATCTTTTTCGAAAGAATGAAGAACTTGTAGACTTTTTTAAATATATTTTTAAATATATTTCCTAAATTCAAAAAAATTTCATAGCTTATGATTATTCTGTTGAGAGCTAGCCGCTAGTATTTATTGGTAACATCGATTTGGTAAGTTGGCTGCTGCCACAAATGATACATGATATATATTATAACGTACGACAAGTGTTAATAACATCACACTGTAAAAACACGCCATTCTTGAATAAAGTCAAGATGTTAACAAAGCAGTTAAAGTATTGATCGTAAGATACATTTAAATGCGGAATATTATATGTCAAATACGGAATATTTGAAACTTGCGCTTGTTTAGCTATTATATATGGCAGATTTAGATAACCAATAAAAAATCATTATTTCAGTGACGTAATGGGAACCCTAATATTTCAAGCTTTTGAAGCTTGTTGATTGGCTATGAGACAGAGAGGTTCTCGGACCTCTTTATTCTACAGCCAATCAACAAGCTTAAAAAGTTCATTTTACGATACATGATATTAGGCTAACTTGCATCACTTGCACATCCTTTCGACTTGCAGGCAGGCGGGTTATCATTTATCCAGTCCTTGTCATTTGCCCAATTGTCGACAGTTGTCGATGATTGTCGACTTATGATTGTCGTTGATTGTCTTTCTAGTATTCCAGTATTCCATATTGCTACTTGCAGACCGTTTTTTCAGAAGTAATACGTTGCATTTTGTTGCATTTATATCGAATAAGGTATTTATCGTCGAGAAAACAAATTTTTTATTTTGTAAAATATATCATAAATTTGAGATATGTTATCATTTATAAACTTATTGTAGTATGTAACATACCACATGTTACACACACAACAGTTAGTGTTTTTTGTTGACAGAATTAGTGCACACACAGTGCATTTTAAAGTCATTGTACATAAATCGACATAAAGATGTATGTTTAATAAAAATATAAAAATGAATTAAACCGTGAAATATTCAATATATTTCATTGTACTATTTGATAAATACACATTGGGTATTTTGTCAATTTTTTGTTTAATTAAGATATCTCGCTTTTACATTTAGATTAGTATTCTAGTATACAACAGCTTTAATGTACACTGAATGCGCATCAGTTCTGTCAGTGAAAAATGCTATTAATTATTTAATTACAATATTTTATAATTAAATTTGTATTTTTTATATATCACATATAGCTACTGATAGCACAAAATATTATAAAATTATAATTCAATATATATATATATATATAAAACATTTTTGTAGGCTCTTCAGTGATATACCTCTGTCAAATATTTTATCAATATGTCAGAGAAAGTATTATTATCAGGTAAGTTACATCAGACTGATGTAATAATAATGGCTGTGTTCAGTTATACATAAAGTGCATGAGGTATTACGTTTTTGTGAACAATAATGATAAAATGATACACATTATATGTGCAATGGATCGCAGCTAGTGATAACTGCAGCAAAACATAATAAGAATAGGAATGATAATATAAAGTTATATAGAGGAAAAATCCCTATTATGAGATATAGAATTTGGATAAATGCTAGAAGTTTATGGACAGAATTTAAAAAAATAATCATTTTGAAGGGAATATAATAAGTTTTAAGATAATGTTATATAAAATTTAATTTAAATTCCATTTTTTTTAAATTAAAGAAATGTAAAAAGTAAAATCGCAAAGTAAAAAAATTATGCTCCTAATATTAATAAATATTAATAAATATGAGATGCCCCGAGAAATCGATAATAAAATGCAAAGTATATCAGTAACTAAAAAACTTTATTTAATGTTTGTTAAATACAAACACAGCCATGGTGCGCGACAAATGAGTATGCGATACATTATATCTAGAACTCTTCTTCAGGTAGTTGAAATCAAGCATCGCAGAAATACACTCGAGACTTCATATTATCCTTTTTATTATTGTACAATAATATTTATACTTTAACAACGATTTTCATTATGACATGGGAGCATGGATTATTTCATGTTAGAAATATCCTGGATATCTCATAATAATTTACACGCCTTATGGTTTTATGATCATCAATTCTAACTTCTATAATTAAGCAATTCAATATATCCCGTATCCCATATTTTTCTATTAGACGACTTTACTCTATCACTACATGAAGAATTTATTGCCAAATATATTTTATTAAATAATAAACAATGTTTAAAGCTTATCTCAATGAAACTTGAAGACATCCAAATTCTAAAATTTTTTTTTATAATGACTACAGGTATGATCTAATAATTTTCTTCTAAATAGTTTTCAATCCAAGAGCAGCAATAAATTCACGGTGGAACCAAGATAATGTCTGTTAGCAGAAACGCTGCTTTCTTATAATAGGGGGCTTTTTTCTATAGTTAATTTTTTTCTATATATTGTAATATATTAATATATAATTAAATAAGTATCCAATAAATATTTTACAAGGTATCTATACATCAGACAAGCATGGTAATGATGAGACAGGAGATGGTTCAGAGAGTAACCCCTTTAAAACTATCTTAAGAGCGATGCGTCATGCCAATAAGGAACCTTTTCCAATCATCTATCAGGATTCTCGAGAAAATAACAAAAAATATGAACCAGCATCTAAGTCTCAATTAAAGAAAATACAAAAAATTTGGGTTAGAGAACAGTATAAAAAAGACGAGAAGGAGAAGAAATTATTGGAAGATGAAGAAAAGAGATTGAAAAATCTTGGAGAGGCTAAATCAATTGTTATAGAAGAGGATAAGACTTTACCAGAAGCAAAAGAAATCAAGATAAAACAAGCTATTGATCACAGAGATCAAAGAGTTAAGCTATATGGATGGGTGCATAGACTAAGACGGCAAGGTATACAATATAATTGAATTTATTTCTATCGTGATAATTTATTGAGTAATTTGTACTATAGGCAAAGCCCTCATGTTCATCACATTGCGAGACGGAACAGGTTTTCTGCAGTGTGTACTGACTGATAAACTTTGTCAAACATACAATGCTTTGACCCTTGCCACGGAAGCTGCTGTTCAACTGTTTGGAATTTTGAAAGCTGTTCCTGAAGGGAAAAATGTACATTTGACATTTAATTAATACATAATATATAAATCATTTATGTACTGTTTATTTGGATAATGTTTATACATTATTTAATTTCAGGCACCTGGTGGTCACGAATTATCTGTTGATTATTGGGAACTTGTTGGATCATCACCTCCTGGTGGTGCTGATTCAATTTTGAACGAAGAAGCTCTTCCTGACGTACAATTGGACAATAGGCATATAATGATTCGAGGCGAAAATGTATAATAGAATTTTAATTTTGCTCTTGTAGAGAACTGTTAATATAATCTTTAAATTTAAATCAATATTTATTTATTCTGCAATTAGATCTTTGATATATGTATTTTTTTTCAGACGTCAAGAATTTTAATCATGAGATCTATATTAACGCAAGCATTCAGAGATCATTATAAAGATCGTGGTTATCATGAGGTAACACCTCCAACTTTGGTGCAAACCCAAGTAGAAGGTGGTTCAACTCTCTTCAAATTAGATTATTTTGGGTATGATATTGAAATAAAATGATTTATTAATTGTGCAATCAATACGAGTCAATTGATTAATGTTGTTTTCAGAGAAATTGCTTTTCTTACTCAGAGTTCTCAATTATATCTTGAAACGTGCCTTCCAGCGATGGGAGATGTATATTGCATTGCCCAATCATATCGGGCAGAGCAATCAAGAACACGTCGCCACCTTGCTGAGTTTGTATATAAATAGTTCTTTGTATTATAAAGAAATTGAAATAGGTACATACCTGCTTTTTTTGTAACTATTTTTTAAATATCAAATTTTTAGATACACGCATATCGAGGCAGAATGTCCATTTATTACATTTGATGATCTACTTGATCGATTAGAAGATTTAATTTGCGATGTAGTTGAGCGAGTTCTGAAATCGCCTCTCGGTCATCTTGTTAAAGAATTGAATCCGAACTTTCAAATGCCTAAGAAGCCTTTCAAACGAATGAATTACAGTGATGCAATTGAATATCTGAGAGAAAATAATATCACAAAAGAAGATGGCAGCTTTTATGAGTTTGGAGAAGTATGAATTAAGATCTCTTACATTATCTTTCTAGATAAAATATATAGTTGTTATCGTTTTTTATAGGACATTCCAGAAATGCCAGAAAGGAAAATGACTGATGCTATCAATGAGCCAATAATGCTTTGTCGGTTTCCCGCTGAAATTAAATCGTTTTACATGCAACGTTGCAAGGATGATGAATGCTTAACAGAGTCTGTCGACGTACTTTTACCAAACGTGGGTGAAATTGTGGGCGGTTCAATGCGTACCTGGGATCACGAGAAGTTGATGGAAGGTTACAAACGTGAAAACATTGATCCGACTCCATACTACTGGTATACAGACCAGGTAAATATGAAGAAAATAAATTCTAAATTTTTTCTTTATTTGGAATAACATAAATCGAGCAATTATGTTATTTTATAGCGGAAGTATGGATCTTGTCCTCACGGCGGTTATGGATTGGGATTAGAACGACTTTTGTGCTGGCTGTTGAACAGGTATCA